GCCGGTGGTGTGTTCTGCGTCCGGGAGTTTAGGAAAAAACATAGCGTCTTGCCATCGAAACCAAAATCGACGCGGTCTGGACCGACGTTTCAATTGGGGTATTCCTCAGGTGGGAAATATTCTACGTGCGCCAACTCGCCGCTGGTGCCGCGCGCCGCGCGTGGGACCCCCCCTGGGGGCTTTCGAAACGAATCGAAACACCGTTTTCGCGCGTCAGCGCGCGCGTCTCGGCCAGAAGATTGGTTCGTAGGGTGTACCAAACCCATGCGGACCCGGGCGCGGCGGGTCTGCGCCGTCGGGCGACGTGAGTCGCGTGCGATCGCGGCCGAGGTCGTCTCGGTGAAACGACCGCAGCCGGCGCGCCGCGCGCGCGGACAGACGAACGAAACTCGTAACCTCAACGATCGTTCGTCGAGTGCGAGCGGCTACGATGATGTGTGGTGTTCGTTCCGGGCTCTGCGGGGCGAGCTAGGCGGTGCCCGCGGGGCTCGACACCCGCGCCTTCGTGCGCGGCCGTCAGCGGTCTTCAAACCGCAGGCGGTGCGCGCCGCAGCGCACGCACGACGTCAAACAACACGCACGATGTGACCACGTACATCAAGTCTAACAACACGTCCGTGCACGCACGGGACGACGTCACCTCAGGCACTGTCGCGGCGCATCGCAACCGTCACTTTTGCCCTCACGATTCACGTTGAACGTCAACTTCGACGCTTGCCTCTGGTTTTGCTTGAGGGGGCGTGCGACGCAGGCGCGGCAAAGGCCTCCCTGGCCCAGTCCCCGCACCTCCGCCCAATATGGCATATTTTCCCGCATCTCACTGCTCTCCATAGCCCTCCTCCCCGTGTAAAACGAGACAGACAGTTATTGCGTGCGCGAAGCTTTAGCTGTGGTTATCATATTTTGCAGGGCTTGGCCCTGATGACGTGAACCACTGGGATGCCCTTGAGTCTCCTCGCTGAGTCCTTGAGCCACTGGGATGCTTGCGACCGGTATGGAGGACCAGCCGATCCGGATTATTCAAGTTCACGGACAGAAAATTCCAGGCCGGGGGGGGGGGATTCAGGTCGCATCGTCACCCTGGTCGGCTCAGGCGCGTCGGCCTCTTTCTCGACGGACGGGTCCTCGCTGGATGGGTCCTCGCCGTCGTCGTCGTCGTCGTCGTCGTTCTCCTCGCGTCGTCGTCGTCGTCCTCCTCCCCCCCGTTCTTTTCGGGCGGCACGACAAAGTGCAACGACGAGATGACGCAGCGCTCTGCGTCGCCGGCGCGCAGCGGGTCCTCCAGCCCCACCTCCATGCGGTTCCGCGAGTTCAGCATCTCCTAGTCTGACGGCGATGGTCCAGAGCCTGCCAATGACCCGCTAGACGCCGGCGAGCTGAGCCCGCGTCACAAAGGAGAGCGTCGTTGTCGACGAGGACCCCGTGCGCTTCACGAAGGTCACGTCGCTCGGGCGCATCGCCCACGATATCTTGCCTGTCGTCGACGGGCGAGCCGTTGGCGGCGCGCCTGTCGCATTGAACAGGCGCGACAGGATCGCGAAATCCGTGTTCGTCATGCCGATTGTCGCTGCGCTGCACCCGATGCCGTTCTTCTTGTCGCTGCCACCCTCCGAGAGGATGCCGAAACCGACGGCGTGCAGCTCGACGCGTAAGCCCAAGGCCAGATGCGTGAGCGAGCCCTCGGGCACGCTCGGCCACGAGATCGCGCCGACTGACTTGCCGTAAACGAGACCGATGACGCCCTCGAGGGGCAGCGACACGCCGTGGTCCTCGTAGACGACGAGGACGACGGCCTCGACGTCACTGGAGGCCACTTCCGTCCGCGTGTGCGTGAGGTCCAAGTGTGGCGGCTGCGACTTCGACGTCGCGTACGGCTCGACGAGGACGAAGTCGTCGTCGCCGCTGGCAGCGCTCTTCTGCGCCGACGGCACAGCGCGCTTCGCGGCGGCGTCGAGGTCGCTGAACGACACGATGCTGACGATGCGGCCAATCTCGACGCTGCGGACGTGGACGCTCTCGCCCAGCCGAAGCGCACCCAACGCGTCGTCACGACATCCCTGGGCATGGTTGCGACTCGAAGGCGTCGCGCAACGACGGCGCATGCGCCAGACGCCCAGCAATTGCACGCAGGAGGCGCCGCAACGTGCCGGGTGCTGGCCAAGGCGCTGGAGCCGGCCAAGCTGCGACCCCTCACATATTTTTATTCACATCCATAGCGCAGGAGTCCCCCTATTTCCCTGTCTCCCTAGGGAAGTCAGAAGCAGTCCCCCCACCAACCCACCAAGGGGAGGCTGAGCTCAATTGATAATGTACCAGGGAAAAAGGAAGCCATCTGCAGAAGCCATCAGAGCCTGGTGCTCCGTTCGATGAAGACAGAAAGCATGTGTCTTGTTCAACATTTCCCTTTCCTGCATACCCTTCCGATGCTACCGCGGGACCAAGTAGCGCGCACGGAAAAACATGAACTTTGGCCGATGGCTGCGAACAGTAAAATATTTAATGCATCCCCGGCTAAGCGCTGTTTACAGCGCAACTCACAGGTGCCTGCGGAGTGTAAGGTAAATGCACTCTATAAGCACAGTGTCGAGGGCACAGTAGAATAATGCAGCCGAATAACCCATCTCAACAGCCGAATAAACCCATCTCAACAGGAGTTGCTCGTCTAAGAACCGGTGGTTCTCCCCACGCCCAACTGTGCCCTAGCTAGTCATTCGCATGGGACTGCAAGCTTTGCTATGCACAATAGGCAAAGCGAGTTCATCAGACATGGTCTTTGCAAGACAAGCGCCAACTTCAACTGTGCATTGTCGGGAACGAAGCCTAGCGATGACATGCGAAAGAACAGGATCTGGTGCGAAGAGCAGTTCGGTGTATTGGACTTGAAATCCAGTCAGATAGATTGGGGGAGCGTGGAGCATAGAGAGGGGGAGAACAACAAAAGTTGGAATGGACATCAGCACATGTTTGGCTACCGACTTTGAGCAGCTTGACACACAGGACTGATAACCATTAGGCTTTGAGACGTTTCTGGTCGGATACATGGTCAGTGAGTTTGGGAGGTAGTGGCCATCAGACTGGCTTGTTGAAGGCGAGGATAGATCATGCACAATCAAGTCTACTACATCGCGAGCGTCATGAAGTACCATGTCCCCAAAACACGAAAGCTCCATCGAATGGCGCAAAAAGTTGCGCTCGAAAGCACGGCTGCCAACACGAGTACCATCGGAGTGTGCAAAGCAATTAGCAGCATTGGTCGTAGAGAGTACACGAGAGATAGCAACATCAGAGATACATTCCCAGGGCAGAACTTGCGCACGCTTAGAGCAGACAAGGGTGGCGATTGTTTCCCTGTCTGATGCTAGTGCGGTCGAGAAAAAATTACATGGAAGGGAAACTATGCTGGATATTCGTTTGAGAATGGAACGACGATGAACAACCCCATTTCGTTCCGCAACAACACGTCTCGCTCCAGTAAACGCGCCAATCAGGGATGCACTAGCCACCTCTAGCCCACGATCAGTTCGACCAAATGCAAGCGTATGACGCCAGCCCATGCGGGGGGCATATACGATAAGCGCACCTGCAGCATGGATAGCGTAGGCAGTCGGTAACCAGCGTGGATCTGGGGTTTCAGAATGCATACTGCGGAGTCGCCTCATAGTCGCGGTGAGCTCTCGAAGAGCATTGCGATTGCGATTTTTCACTTGATTGAGAGTCAGTTTGCCACGGCGATGACGAACGACGTCTGCTCGCACTCTCGCAATAGACCGCCAGCATGCAGACGCATCACACGCAGTGGGTGCACAACGTGGCCAATGTGCGGTTCTATTAGTAACAGTTACATGATTGTGTCCGAGCGTTCGTTGACTGCAATAAGACTTCTTATGCTGGACAAATTCAACTTGAACATCGCTCTCGAAATGTACAAAAACATCGAAAAGTATGACATTTTCGTCAATCATGGCCTTATCTGCAACCGCAGCAAGGAAACGGAGCAAGCGTTCTAGAATCTTGCGAAGCTGCGATCGTGTGGCAGCATCGGCGACAGTAGCCAATGGTATGAACGGACCATCGACAAGAAGCTTCAGCAGCAGCTCTCTTGCCTCCCACCAGTGCGCGATTGCACCCAAAGGATCATCGCAGACGTGCCGCAACTCGGCGATGTTGAGATAGGTTTCAAGGAGAAGCAGGGGCTCATTGATGACCGCTGCGATTTCAAGGGCATGGCGGGAAGCTAAAGCCGCATCTTCAATTGTTGCACGCCCACCTTCAGCCATCAATTCAGATTGAGGCGCGGTCATCGTTGTTTCGAGAAACATCCTGTCAAGGCTTAAAGTAGCAAAGGCAGATGCGGCTCGAGCAATGCCAAACGAATCATTTATTGCCTTGAAGCACTCCAATGCATGCCGATACCAACGCAAGGCATCATTACGCATATCGGCTGCATTTCCATAAGCGCGGTAGTGTCGGGATCGTGATCGTCTCGACATCTCATCCGTTACGCTTAAAGGTTCACGACTTTGATCGTGTCCGGTAGATTGAATAGTATCACAACTATGCTGCTTATAAAACCGGCAATCAAGTGCGCAATCTTGGCGAGTGGGGTCATGACTGTATTCATCGAGACACAAGGGAAAGGCTCGTGTTTCAGCATCCCTTGCAAAGGCTACCTGCGCACGACCACGAAGCTCATATAAAGCACCAAGTTCGCCAAGACCTCGCACAGAACCCACACGAGAGACAGCCGCCTCAGCCGCCGCAACCGTAGGCACAAGCCTCTTCAATGCTCTCCTTGGACGCCTCTCTAGTAAGGCTACCTCTGCAGCTAGTTGGCCGAGGTCAACATCGTTATCACAAAATGCCACGAGGCGACCTTTCAGGGGTGAATCCCACAAAGGTTGGTATTCACCACGGCACAGGTCCTCCAGGGGATTCCATAGAGATCGAGCTAAGGATCCGCTCGAAGCATGTTGTCGAATGCGTTCGACCCTACGCAAGGCAAGCTGTGCGCTCATCGTGTCATCACACAGCACATGAGCTTCAATGAGATATGACAAAAACGCAATGCGACGTCGATGGGATGTTGGACATACAGCTAGAGCACGTTCTAAACAAAACGTGGCTAGAGAAGGTTCGCACTGCTCTACAGCAATGTGTGCTACGGATAAAGCAGCCTGTTGTGATGCTAACTCGAGCTCGTAAATTGAAGTTGAAGTCGCACACATTTTCTGACGCCCTGACAGATCCGCTTCTAAATTTTGCAACGTCAAGTGCGCATAGGTGAGATCACTAGATTTTGCGAAGTGAGTCACGAGTAGTTCTGCTACAAAAAAGACCTCATAGACATCAGCAATAATTATTGAGTCTAGCACCTGAATAAGACCCAGCCTCTTGTTATCCTGCAAACGCGTTTGATGTGCTAGTGCTCGAATCCTGCGCCCTTCGAAACGTTCGCGCAAGTCGCCCAAAACATGATTGCAGTGAGTAACTCCGGTTTCACGATCTCCTTGACGCGTTGACACAATGCATAATTCGCGTTGCAACTTGCGTCGCTCATTCGAGTCATCACGGAGCCTCAAAATTGCCACACATACATCAAGAACCAAAACTGCATACGCATGTTTTGCACGTCGCTCGAGCGCACGAGCAAGCGCTCGCAAGGCTGTGTAACCCATGGAGCATGCAAGAACTGAATAGGCAGTAGGGGCAAAGTTGTGTTGCTGGGACGATGCAGGATCCAATGGACCTTCATAACGATGGGCATGGAAAGGCAAATCAACCTACATGTAGACAACCCGTTTGGCGGTCATAACAAGATTGGTCTCATGAAGAGCGCATACAGGACTCCGGAGAGAGAAACAGGGATGGTAGTGGTGTGTTGCTCCAACACGCAGGTTGCCTCGAAGAGGAGCATCTCGGCAATGCGAAGTTCTTGTGTCGCACCGTGTAGCGCCTTCCGACCGCGCCACAATCTGCGGCGCAATCTAAGATTATTGCCAAGTGCTAGCGTAGAAGCTTCGTAGCGGTCAATTATCGTGGCTTTCTCATCACGGACGCGTTCGACGCCACGAAGGTAGCCAATGCCCAGGGCAAGAGCGGCTTTGGCACGAGCGAGACTTGACGGCGGTAATGCCAGAACTAGGGCAATAAGCCGTCCTTCGACACGGCCTGATGCTCGCGATGACCACTTATTTTCCAGCGCTGACTCGAGAGCCGCTCCGGACTCACACGCAATAGCATCCTTGTCACGAAATTCTTTAGAACTCGCCACTTCCCAAAAGACTCTCGACGTTGATGCTTCGCGCCACATAACTGTAGATATTCTTGGTTCGGGTGATTCGCCTGGTACTAGTTTTTCTACAGTTAACGGTGAGTAGCCCATGGACTCTAGACGTAAATCAGCCAGGACGAGAGCTTCCAGGCCATCAGCATCCAGAATACGATAGCTTAAACGTAAAGAATGAACTACATCAAGCGCGGCCGCAATACTCGATCGAGGTAGCGGTGGGAGAGCCCCACACCAGCACCGACCACGAAAGGATGGTGGTGCGCACCCGTCGCGTATTTGCTCACATACGGATCTTCGTGTTGGGCGTGAGTGTACCTGATACTATGAGGGTGAGAAAATACGAATCCTCGCATTCTGAAAAGGTACCTTCGTACGAAGACACGTCTAGACACTGGATTGGTTTTGACCAAGGCTAGATGAGCCACAGCTTCGTCAACCATGAGCTTGCTCTTAGCCCGAAGAAAGGCATCGTCAATGTCACCTAGAAGAGCAGCTGTTCCATGGCGGAATGCAGCTAAATCGCGAGCGTCGAGTGGATGGGGAGGCGCAGATAACCTATGAGGGAGGTCAAGTTGTTTTTTTGTGTTCGTCGCGTGGAGCAGCTCCGCCGCACACAACTCATCGCAGCGCTGCGCGAGACGACACACAAGTCGTGAAAGACGCCCACAGCACTGGTGGCAGCGGAGATCATCGTCGAGCGTTGATGCACTGGGTCCGCCAAAGGAGACAATTTTCAGTGCCTTTGGAGTGACACTGGCAGCAGTTTCGAGGCTGTGCAATAATGTCTTCACGTACGTGACGCAATTGTGCCAACTTCCATTGCAGTACGCCATCTCTGCAGCACGCAATGACCTTTCCAACGCTGCCTCCTCACTTGGTGGCCGCTCACGTTCGTGCATATTCTCGAATCGCTCTGGAGATGGTCGTGCAACAACAGCAGACGTATGGGAAACCTTGTAGCACAAATTTTGCAGCCATGCAACCGTCCCGCGTGCTGATTCTGGCGCATGGGGTGATGCAAAAGGTATCGAATCACGTTTACGAAGATCTTGACGTCGCATACTGAATCCTGTGGATATTTCTGGTGGTACGTGTGGTGTTATCCGGACGTCCGGGTCAACACCAAGAGAGGATTTAGTCCAAATGGCACAGGCTTCCCGATCAGTATCGCGTTGAACATCGCTAGCTCCTATTTGCCGTGGTCGCTGGAATGTTGCATATGCTGAGAATAGTGTTGGTTGCCGTGGTAGAGAATGCATACTATGCACATCACAGAAAACCATGGCGTCTTTTATTGCATATCCATCGAGATATTCGAGCAGTGATTCCACTGGTGCACCACTTGGGTCTATGATAACCACCTGCTTATCATCTGCCAGTGATGCGATGCTAGGCGCGGCAGCTGTGGCATAATCTTCAGCTTCTTCATTCAACGCTAGGGCTTTAGGTGTTTTCGCCCCGAGTGACAGCTCCAAGTCCCAGTCTTCATTGGTTCCAGAGGTCGAACGGACGGTAGATTCACAGGGTCGCAGGGACTGCAAGGTCGTCCCCGACAGAGACGCAACCCCAGAATCAGATAGGAAATCACTGTCCCAGCAAGCTGAGGAAAGTTGATGGTTCCCGGCCATTAAGGTCAGAATTTTCCCCACGGCGAGGCTACCTAAAACCAGGATCGGACAACATCACCGAGGTTCCGCCCACCACCCGCCGCCGAAAATCGACCTTATGAAAACGAAAGCCTTCGACCCGAGAAATTTCTTAGCTGCATAGCATGCAAGCTTGCGTACAGCTGTAGCCAACTGACGGTGAATATTGACGGTGCACCGCGGGTCCGCCAGGACTCGTAAGGTAGTCCGCGGGGGCTGCTAGGGTCATGCGCCGGGGTGCCCGGCTCGGCATCGAGGCCATGGCGTCGGCCATCATCATGGGGTCTGAGGGCGTCTGTCCACCGCCTCGTTTGTCATGTAGAGCCTAGCCTAGCGCGTCACGGTGTACCGGGACGGCCAGAGGTGGTATGGTTGGAAACCTGGCCTGTCGAACCCCCACTCGGCAGTTAGCTCTGACTGGGTGGACTCTGAGGACTCCAGTTTCCGGTAGCTGGGACCAAAATATGGTGGTAATTTGCACTTACTAATCGACGGACCAAGTTGCAGTGAAATGTATCGCTCGGCTGAAACGTCGTCCATACACAGAACGAACCATGAATTATCCGAGAATCCGACAAAAGATCCCCGTGGCCGTTCATAATAATTTGACAGCTATGTCGGACGCCGAGGCGCCGGATATGGGCGGTAAACTACAGGTTTATCGTCTAGAGAAGCGCAAGGGAGAAGTGGATGATGCCAATATCATCGCGGGCAAGCGCGTCCGTCCACAGGGTCGCGCGCCTATCGTATCGGCTGCCCCACGGACAGTTGCCCCGCGGCGCGTCTCGCCAAAAAAGGCAGCGCCTTCTCCGGACGTACCCGGCCCAGATGATGATGGTGTGTCTCGGCACATGCTTCGGGCTGATCTACAGGCTGGAGACCTAGTCTTGGTCAAGGGCTGCGACTTCGCCGCTCTTGCTAAAGCGGGAGTTGCTCCGGATGCGGTTTGCACAGCTGAAGTGCTGTCTTCTACGGCTGCTGGTGCCAGGTGTAAAGTAGCTGGTGTTTCTGACATGCTTCTTCTGCCTCCAGGACACCAAGCAGCTTCGCTTTGCGTGCGACCTGAACGTGTCAGACGGTTCGTTTTTGTGTCAAATTAAATGGCGTCATGTTTTTTGTAGGCATGACAAGATTGTTGTCGGGCAGTGGGTGAGAGAGCGAGTCTCTGCTTTTGATTCTAACTCAGGTCAGAGATGGTCCCATGTCAACTATGGTGCTCTCGCAGACAAAGCCACTATTCTATGCTATATCTGTGCAGTGCATGAGCACATCTCATATTTGTATACACCTGATGATGGTGAGGCTTTGAAGATAACAAATGAAAATGTGAGGAGGAGAAGAGTCAGCTCCATTTGTGAAGTGAAGGTGTCGAAGTCTGAGCGACGGCTGAGCACCGAGACGAAGAACTCTGTACCAAGGCAGCCACCGCCTGCATCACTCGCTGAAGTGCCATGGTTGAATCCTTTGGCCAGGGACAAAGGCAATGTGCTCCAGTGCATCCAGAGTATTCTAAGGAGCCGTGGCAAGCGAGAAAAGCCCACGGATTCACGCGACATACACATGTCCTTCTCATCTTTTGAAGGTATTACCCGCAGTGAGTATGTGGGTACGCTGAGTGCCATTCGCGTCTGCTACCCGCTTCGGGAGAGCTTTGATGCCGAGTACATGCATGTGTATGGATCCTGTCCCGTGGAGCACATGCAAATCTGCAGTTGGCGCACAAAGGACGAGCTGGAAAGGCTCGGCAACTGGTTTGGTCAACCGAATTTCAACATGCACAGACGTGGGAACCGTCCAAAGCTATGTGTTCCAATGCCAGTGATGTTTGATGAGATGAATGTGGTGCATCCAAAGTACTCCAGAACTCGAATTGTGTTGAAATACAACATCACTACGTTTATGGCAAAGGTTACGGTGGCATACCAGCGAGTTGGACCGGTTGCACAAGGTACTGCACATCACTTTCTACCCGGAGGTGACTGCGCCCCACCAGCTATGCCAGTCCCAACTCAGCCATCTGAGCCTGTGCAATGCGGAGAAGAAGAGTACACTGATGCTGTTCTCCAGGGCGAGCAAATTGAGATTGACTCTGGCACGTACAAGATCATCGAGGTCGGCCCCACCTGCAAAGTGACTCTCGTCGCTGGCAGCGGCACGCAGTCTATCCTCATCCCGCGCGCAGACGCCGTGAGGCGCCTCGCCTTGTTCCTCGGCCTAGCCCCTCCCCAGTAACAGCCTTGCTATTCTCCGAAGTCCACGATGGAGCTGATGGCAGCACGATGAGCTACTCGTAGAAGTAGCTCAAAAATAATAATTAGACGGAGATAAAGACATCTCCGAGCAGAGCTCCTTCGCGCGCGCGCACCAGAACTCGTAGTTTTGTAAGCCGTCGCGATTAGGCGGAGAAAGTCGCACTCGAAGTTGCCGCGGAGCTGCGGGACGTGCTCGCGAGTGTCGTGCATGCCAGATTCGTGCGCTCCCAGCGTAAAACTTGCACCACTCGTAGCGGCGGTCGCGGCGGGGTAGTGCGTGCACTCAGGTTATATGGACATGCGCATGGGCGGAGATCGATGCAGGGGACGGGGCTGCCCGTCCATGCTCTCCTTAACTCGGGAGAGCTAATTCGAATACACGATTGCTAATTAACTTAGCCTACTGAGTTTATTTAGTTGGCCGACCACCAAAAAGCCACAGGGATAAATCGGGAAACTAGCGGACGGCCACCCCCTCACCCCCCTCCGCGGGCGTACCCTCGGCAACAAAAGCCAGCATATGCATGCTAAATTCCCACGGCGTTGCGACTTCTAGCTTAGCACCAGTGGCAACTCGAATGTAGAAAACCACCAAAAAGCCACAGGGTCGAATCGGAGAAAAAGCTTATGACCATCCTGTGGTTCCTCGAGCGAGGCGTATCGCTGGCCAAAAAGACCCACAGCTTGCACTTGCCTCGCATCCAAAAGTTAAAACTAGCACCTCAGGCTACCACCCAGGTCGGTAGACGAGCACATAGTTAACACGCGCAGCCGGCGGGACGTGCCTCAGGAGTCGCAGTCCATACACCGCAGCCCCTCGTCCGCCGACACACAAGCCAAGCCGGAGAAAGGCCCTCGTGGGCGCTGGCTAGGCGTCTTTGCTCCGCGCCAAGTCCAGTCTGCAACCTCGGCATCGAGGTTGTCACGCTCATCCATGTCGAGGTCACCATCCTCATCTTCAAAATCGCTGTCACTCTCGTCTGCAGGCTCGAAGTCTGGGTCATCCACCGGAAGCACATCATCAGGAAACGCTTGCAGGAGAAACGTAGGCTGGTCCACAGCCCGAGCCGAGTTTGCAGGACTGAAGAACTTCTGCAAATGCCCATGGAACCACCCATATCGCCGGAAGCAGATTTCAAACAGGCTCACCATTCTTGGACTCTGCTGCTGCACACCTCGCTTTGCACCCTCCACCTGCATCCCTCCGCCCTTCGATGTCTTATTATGATACAAATTTTTCAGCAATTTGACAAAGCCCTCCACTGCTTGCTGTTCCCATAGCTTGAGAAATATCCCGCGCTGCATGAACTCCAGGGCGTGTCCTGAGCCAACTATATGTGCATAGTTGCCTATGAACTCTCGGTTCCATAGTGATATTCCATGATCATAATACATGTGACTCAGTCTGTAGATGAGTTCCTCATCGAACTCACCCACTTTATCGAGCTCGTCCATGAGCTGAATGTAGCATCTCATCAGCTCCTTCACCTGCTGGTTCCTGCTTCCTTGGGTGACACAAATGTCTATCACTGCTTCTCCCACTCTTCTGATGACCTTTGCTCCCAGATACACCTCCATGCTTACTCTGCCCACCCCTGCTCCGGCCTTCAGAAACGGCACCTCCCATTGCTGCGAGGCTTGAAATTTATGCATGCCTCGGGAATTGATGATGGACACAGCCTGCTCCACAGTTTGCTTCCTTGCTGCCTGTGTTGCCAAATCTGGTCTGTGAGCCTCACTGTACACATCATTCAAGATGAGCGTGATCAGAGCCTCCTGCGTATTCTTTTTTAAATGAAGCAAACATGGCACCATGTCCTCTACCAATATTACCAGTGCATCATCATTGCCCTTGCAGCACTCAAGTTTTTCTCTGAGCCTTAGAATATCGTAGCAGCACACCATTAATGGCTCTATGGCAGCAACGAGTGCTGATGCACTCATGCTTTCATAGTCTTTGACATGCAGGTCCATTGCTGTTTTTTTGAGGGCTTTGGTACGTTCCATGGCTTCATTGACACCTGTAGGTTGAAATCCAATATGAAATGTTCGCCCCTGGTCCTTGGGAAGAGCTGATACATATTTATTTCTTAAAGCAGCCTCCACTTCCTGCAGTAATTGGGGTTTATCGAGAAACTCAAGTACTCCCAGCTCCTCGTAATCATCTTCATCCAGCTCCTCGTAACCCAGGACCTGTGCTTTTATGAAAGAAGGGACATTTCCAACCAGACTCTTCTCCAACAAGGCCAGCTGCGATTTGAGGCGGGAGAGGAGGTCCTGCGTAAGCATAGGCTCACAAAAGCACCTGTCAAAATTGTTCGAGGTGCATCTGTGGCATCTTTCTTGACCAATTTTGGGAACATGCAGGTTGTCATCATGCACAGGACAGAGGTGGCAGGGATTTTTGCTGTTCTTTGCAGCTCCACCTCTACACTTAACTTTTTTTATTCCATTTTCCTCCTCGACAGTACCGCTGGTTTTCCATGTAGAAGAGAGGTCCTTAGCCGATTTTATCATCAGGTAAAACTTTCTCCCAAGCCGCTTATGATTGAAGTAACCACCCCTCTTGTCCAACTCCCTCTTGAACCTGTAGACCATGTTCAATGCAGGAAACGCATGCCATAATAAGCCAGTCTCTTTATGCATAATGGCCCCAGATGGCAGCAGATTACCTGTGCTCTGGAATTTTCTGTTTAATAACCCATCAATAGCATCCCTGGCAGGTGCCCCTGGTAGCTGTACGGCAGCAAAAGTGACTGACTGATGAGCGGTCACTTGGCCATTATCGCCGGTTCCTTTAACCTCCACCGCATCAGCTGGACTGTGTCCCCTGTCATTCAGGCCATTGTCTTGAAGGTAAATTTCGAGACCATTCTGAAAATCTCCGAGAGCAGCGTAATCACCATCATGAATCTTTATTCCCATATCATTAGCTGGAATTTTAAAATCCAGCTTAAACATAGCAGACATGAAAGCGGTAGCTTCCTTGATTTTTACTCTCAATTTGACATGATGAGGGATGATCCAATTGCCTCTTAGCTTCCTGGGCATGCGCCGCCCGAAATCCGACACGAACCACTGGTCTGTCAGTTTCACCGTAATGTCATGCATGTTCTGGATGTCACCGATCGAAAGTTTGGCCCTGGTGTCCAACTGGCACACCCATTTCCAGGGCTGTCCAATCTGGGCACTAAACTGGGTTAAGACTTGAACTGTAATGGTGGCCCATAAACCACCAAAACGGTGCTCTGCAGAATACAAATTTTGGACCATGTAGATCATCATGGTGTGCCACGCGTCCAGGGTCTGATCTCTCCCTGTAATGGGACACATTTTACTCTTCTTCAGCTCATGGATGAGCAGCACAGTTCTCTGGCAGACCATCCACTGGTCGCTCCCGAGCTCCTCCGGTTGCTTCCATGTCTCACGCCCTAATGCCCTCATGATCATATTTTTTTCACTGTTCGATAAGCCAGCTTCAAAGGTGTCTGAAGGAAGTCTTTTTCTTCTCTTAGAGATGGGCCCCATTAAATCCTGGTCACTCACTTGGCACCCCGCGTCCATAGTTTGAACCGGTCCGGCAGTTGCTGCGGCAGTTGGCCGTCGAAGTAACTTTTTCAGCGCGCGCCTCAGTGGCAGAGAATCTTCCTTGCACACCTTTGCCCCATCCTTGCTGTGGTGCGCCCGAACCTTCTCCACGGTCGCGTCGTCCATGTGCGGCACCAGCAAGTCCCACATCTCCTTGTCGACCGTTAGCGTCTGGAACTTGACGAAGCCGCCGGTAAGCTTCTTCTCCTTCCGAGGCGCCTCAGGGGCTGTGCGGTTGTCCATGTGTCCGAAAGCAGCCCTCCGGCCCGGGTCATACGGGACGCCCGCTGCCAGCGGTTGCGTTTCCATGGCAGCGGCTGGAGCGATAGAGCTAGCACGCTAAGCTTCTGTCCGACCAATGTGATCAGCCGATTGGATTCTTGGAAAATATATCATTCGTTCTCTACATGTCTTTTGCTCGAGACGATGTGGTTGGTCGGCGGAGCGGGGCTGCGTCTGGGGTCTGGGGCGCCCGAAGGTACTATGCCCGCGCGGCTGCCGGCCGGAATCGGGGCGACGAGAGAGGGGTTCGCTTGGCATAGTACCTTCGAGCACCCAGAACCTCGCCGCGGGGACCGCCTCGCGCGCGCGGAGAGAGAGGGGAAAATGATCTCGGCTTCTGCGTGCTCCCGAGACGAGCGGGCTGAAGATTTGGGATGCTCGACCCCGAATTGCCATTGCGAAGTGTGCTCAGTTTCTCTCCCCCTGGCCTGGAACATGCCAAACCCAGCATCAGAGATCGTGCGACCATCATCGACGACGTCCAACCACTTTCGAAAGTAAACTTCTAGGTTCAATAAGTTAATGTTGCGTTCCGGCCGACGATTGGTAAGTGATTTGCCCTCAGCCTGACTCCTGACTAGGGTATGGTAATAATTAGTTCCCTACTCAAGTCACGGTAGGCAGACTAATCTCGGATCGGGGCTCTCTGTCCTCAATCGCTGGAGTTAAGTGAGTAAGAAAGAAAAGGGGCAACGTCATGGAAATCCAGATATGTATCCTCCGTCGCTCGCTGTATCTATCCTAAAGCCAGACTCTAGATACAAGCCAACTGCACTGCCAACTTCAAGCTAAGCCAGTCAAGATACCTCAGTCTAGTCTCCCGCCACACGGGGCTGGTCGTCGTCGGACCTCAGGGGCAGCACGAGTGTGTTCTGTGACATGCCACGTACGTCGGAGCTCTTACGTACACCCTAAGGGCCTCCGTAGGTCTTAGGTCATTCCGGTAATGCTCAGCCCTAGGAACTCCGATCAGCGTAATGATATATCCTGGCGGCTATATCACCTGCACATATGAAATAGTGCCCGAACGTTTGTTCTCGCGCACTATGCCTGAGCACGGTCTTTCGGTCGGCACTCGAGTTGAGCAATCACAGACTACCGTCGTACCGTTTGCCCGCAAAAAAGGCGTGACGTCTGCGCATGTTGTGGGTAAAAAGCTGACAACATTGATAAGCGAGGATCCTAATCTATTCTGGGAAGCAGCACAGCATGAGTTTGGTGTTGCGTTGCAAAGCATGTCGCTGGACTTAATGGATTCTCTTGATGTTCGGTTAAAAGCTTTAGGCCAGAAGGTGTCCCGTCTAGAAATAGCGGCGAAGGAAGCTGTCACCAACCGTGATGCGAGAGCTGTCGCACGTGAGGCTGAGGCTGCATTCATTGCAGAAAAAGAACGTTCTGAAAAATCGCTACTAGCACAATGGCTCCAGGGCTTTGCGCATAGCCTCTACAAAGGGCCTAGCACATCGGGTCTCGAATTTGCGTTAGAGGTTGGACTTGGTCTGGATGCAATTGACTTTGCCTTTTGTCGCTACGCGCTCAATGTGGCCCTAGCCGCTCCTAGTGTGTCCCAAGAAAAGATGATAGTTTCGCGAGTTCCGCAAGTACTGGTTGGCATCGTTGACGGTGCTAATACTGCGATGGCAACTCGCCGCGCCAATAAATGTCTGTGCCAACAGCCAGGCTGGAGGGGTTTAGGCGGCCGCGCGTGCCAAGGAAGTTCGTCAGCTGCGAGATGGACGCTCGCTTCGTGTCTTAACACGGTGCCAGGTTGACACTCTCCAGGTTGGTTATGGGCTTGTAAATATTTAGGCCCTTTCTGATGCGGCAGCCCTAGTCTGTGGACCATCCCTCATGGCGCTTACGCACCTCGCCCAAAAGGATGGTCCCGCACGAGCTGCGATAGCCGAGGCGCAAGACTGTGTGTCTCAAATGAGTTCTTTGGGGTTGTCCAATCGATCTAGATGTGAGGACGACCATAAAATCAGGCAAACGGAATCGCGGTCCTAACTGCATGCTTAATAAACGCAAGACAGCCAGCTGTGCTTTCCCAGGCGTGCCACGCGATTGGAGCGTTGGCATTGCTCGCAGAGAATCGGATACGAATTGCCGCGGCCAATGGCATAAGCATTCTTGTGAAGCTGTTGAGTATGGCACGCCCGCCGCCTATACTTGCAGCAGATGCCGCTAATGACCTAGTTTGCGCCTCATCTGTATACAGAGTGCCAAAAGATGCAAATGAAGACCTTCGAGTGACTGAGGCTGTTCAGGAAGCTGCATTGGTCGCATTCACAAACCTTACGTGAGCATCTTGTAATAACACAGTCCTAGGATCCCCTGACTTCCTAGGAACTCATCGGAAGCAAATCGGCAGCTTGTCGCCGAATTGGGTGGCGTGACTCCAATGGTGGTTTGTGCTCTCTTTGCTCGCGGTGGCGCTCCCGTGCGAAATGCTGCACAGGCAATAGCTAATGTAGCATATGGTTCGAATTTTGCTGTGGCAAAATGCTTGATGGCACGGGCCGATGTTGCAATGTGCTCTGCCATAAGTGCCGTTGACCTTCTCTGCGAGGACAGCCTGCTCGAGGCAGCGTAGTTTGCAGAGTCTTAATACTTTTTTGTATGGTAATTAAGGCACCTTAGATTTAGAGCTTTGGCAAACATGGCCCTTGACGAAGCATCACAGTCTGGATTGGCCGCAGGTGATGCTATGGTGTGGTGTGTCCGAGGTCTGTCTCACTGTCAACACGTCCGCGTCCTCCGGGCGGCAGCACATGCAACAGCTGCGTTGGCATACAAGTCTCTGGCGAACAAGGCGCGCCTTGCGCAACTTGGAGCTCTTGCTGCCTGTCTACGGGTTGTCTCTGACTTTGGCATTGGGTCCCTTCATCACACAGAACACTACGTTCCGGCGGTCTATGTGAATCCCAGCGTGTAGATCAGGGCTCGACCAAGATATAATTCCATGTGAACTAACCGTAATGTGTCAGGCAACATCACTAGCGGCGTGTACCCTACTCTCTTTCCATCCAAACCACCTCATCTTCGAAGACTGCTGTGGAACAGAGACGTATGCTAATCTGTGTGCTACTACTGAGCATATGGAATTGCTCAGGGTTGGCGCTATGGTTGTTGCTTCAGTAGCGCCTACAGCTCACGACCGTTGGGAGGCACACGCTGAGGGCAGAACGATTCATTTTGAGGCAACTGATGGCTTTAATGCCCTCGTGAGGTGTACTAAGTGGGTGTTTTCTCGTGCCGAGACACCAGGGTGGCTGCAGACCGCCATCAACGCTCTTCAGATGAACCAGGTCCAATTAGAAGAAGTCCGACGGATACGTATCGAGCAAGGGGGCGCTCCAAATATCCGAGACGTCGAACTGTTCCCCAGGCACGAGCTTTTTGAAGAATTTTTGACACCCGTTTGCCTTGATCATGTTGTTGCCGAAAGTTCCAGTCTTCGAGATCTTGCCTTTCGTCTGTACTGACTTTGACTTCGTCTGCACTGAGGAACGGACCAGGGTAGTTCAGATGGGATGGTGGCTGCTCGAAGGCAGCAGCGAGAATTACCGCCGCCGCCTAGGACAATCATGATTATCGGCTTGGTCGATTTCAAGGTCATTTCGCCCCCTCCCCAACCCCCCCCCCCCATAAAGCAAATCCTACTATTAGGCTGATATTAGGCAGGCCTTGCGTTTCAAACATCGGCGGCCGAAAAGTCGGCGGGCGCCGGCGGGGGTTGGAAGAAGGGGTGGGGGGGCGGCGGTGGGGACGGAGGCCCGGGGCCCGGGGGAGGAGGAGGCGAACGAGGAGGCGGAGG